GTATACAATGTCTAAATTAGTAAACTATGGCTTGTGATCTAAAGCATACTATACTTGAAGTATGGTATGTACTACAGTTTTTGCAAATTATGGCTTGGCATAATATAAGAAGTGACAAACCATTGTTGCTTCTGTTCCAGAAGTCACTCTGTTAGAGACAAGAAGTTAGAAAGAGAAGCAGCCTGTTGGCTCTAAACCATATTTTACTTCAGTGTTTGGAAATTCTGTGGGCTTTGAACAAAACTACTATAATTCTGATATTTTGGTGTGATGCCTGGATTTGATTTTGATTGTGCAGAATCAGAGAGAAGATGAGGAAAGTTGCTTAAACTATTTTTCAGGTTAAATATTTTATTCTTTTTTTTGGTTACTGTCTTTTCCCACAAACATTTGCACCTAGAGAACATTATGGTGCAAAGAGGATCAGAATCAAGAATGTTAGCTTTCAGAATGTAGGAACTCGTTTTCTTCTTCACAAAGCCTCACTACAAAATCCAGACTTCGAAAACCAAAAACTAGCATAAATATTTGGCAAGCTTTAAAAGGTCTTGAGGCAAAAGAAGCTGAAAACAGACTAAGAATTGTTAAGACAGAATCAAGGAATGCAAACTGGTCAAGAATCAGGGCCTAAATTTTATATCTGAAACACTTCTTACATTACAAGTATATAGAACACACACACACATATATTTATATATAGAATTGTTTCAGTTTTGATGATTTAGATAAAGAAATGAATATGAATATTTTAATTTCTTGTAGAACCCATCCCTCTCTTGTAGTGACGCTAAAATAAGTATCCTGTACATTCTGCTATTTTTTCTATATTTTTCTTCCTTACAGAATCTTGCTGTATGTATTCTCCACCCCAAAACTTAGTTTTGTAGCTATTACCTGATAAAGGTCTGCTACTGCCACTGTATATGCTGTGAAGGCAGTTAAAATGAGCACTAATCAATCTTACAAAGTCAAGCAATGAGCATTAGGAGGCCACTATCCTGTGACTAAACACACCCCTTTTATGGAGTGTTGGTGCTAATAAAGGGCAGCTTATTACTGAGGCAGAGACCAAAGCTTGGGTGAGGTCAACCATGACTGGCAGTCATCAGTCATTCTTAATGATACTTTTTCTCGTGCTTTCTAAGGGATTCTGAGTAGAGTGCAAATCATTTGGGGTCATCCATAGTTCATGTACCCACAGATGGTAAAGGTTTTGAAAGATAGGTTTAAACTTGTACTTAAAAAAAAAGAACCCCCCAACTAGATAAGTTATTTTCAAGTAGACAATAAACAAACATCAATAGAATCTCCTTCCCTCTTGTAGATCATTATATTTGCTTTCAGTGTGAAAAGATATTTACACACTAGAATGTTTTGTATCTGATAAAGAACTACATAAATTTATTTTTATGATATCTGTCTTCTTTAATTATTGCCTTTGATGTGTATTGGTGACTAAATAGAGCTTAACAGGATTTCTCTCCCTTCTTAAATTTCGTAAAGTGAAACCCAGCCAGTCCCTGACAGATGTCTGTTCCTCACCTTCAGGATTATTTTATAAATCCCTTTCTGATGAGCGGAAGTGTCAAATCAAGGACAGGCCATAAAGCAAAAGTATAAACCTTTTAAAGAGGGATCTTGATAATATATTTAAACATTTTCTACTATTTTTCAAATTGTTATATCTTTGAAAAATATATTTAAAAGTGAAAGAGTTGGATCATAATTTGGCATGTAATGTGATATTATTCCTCATATTCCTTTCAAGTTGCATTTCATGCATATTGAGAAAGTAACTACGCTAGAGATTAAGGAGTACAACTAGTAAGTGGTTTATTAGACTTTCTTTGTCTCTCTTTTACAAAGACTCATTTGTACTATTATAAATTGTTTTGATTGTGGTTTTCCTATGCTCTTCCCCCCTTCCATTTAATTAATTTGCAGCTATAAGTAACAGGTATGAAAGAAATTATATATTTTTTCCTTTTGGTTGACTTTCTTCAAGATTTTTACCTCTGATAAATAGTTTATTTTTGCTGATAAAAGCTACAGTAAACTGAAATCAAGACCTTCTGGTTTCTTCTGTCAGTTTTGAATCACAACACAAGGAAAAATAGGTTGTGTTGCGCATAGAATCCAGAAGTTGTACTGATGTTTGTCGTAATGTACATTTACGTCCACTAGCAACATTCAAAACCTCAGGAAGAAATTACTTATGTTTTGCTAGAACTAAGTTGAAAAAATCCACATGGTCACCAGAGGGCAGCAAAAGGATTCAGAAATCTGTAATATCAAAAGGTCATCTGGATTTTGACATTTCAGATAAGGTAGCCACATCTTTAAAGTTCATAGGTTTGTATAATTAGTTATGTATGAAGCCCATTTGGGAGGTATATTAGCTTGTGAACATATGTACAGCACCTTGTATGTTTGAACAGATGGTTGGAATTCTTATGTAAATAAATACCACAACGCTTTAAACGTGAAACTATTTTCTTTTGATATTCTTTTGTTAGGATTCAGTTGCAACATGTTATATAAAGATAATTCTCTTATTAATTATATACTATTCTTTCAATTTAAAACTAGTCTTTTCAAACTCTACAAGTAAATATATTTCTGATGTTGGTTGGAAAATATGTGCAGCTTTCATAAACAATTGAAATTATACAATTCTACCTATGATAAGAAGTCCTTGTTGAAGCTTTATTCAAGAAAGCACTTAAAGATGAGGGTGTTTATGTATTTAAATTTAAGAATATGCTTTAAGTGCTTTCCTGAATTTGGGCCAATGTTCCTGATGCTTCCTCCTGTTGAGACCAGATGTCATGAGAAACAAATTAGACTTCATGTGTCTGACTTTTTGCTTTCTACATGTAGCCCTGCTTGTTAAGTGTTTTAGTCTTATATATAACCAGTTAGTAGCACAATTTATATTTTTGAAAATGATGGACATAGAGAACTAGAATGTATCTCAAACAGGAATCTGGATATTTGTAGGTAAATTAGTTTTACTTCACAGTATTGCTACTGTTCCCAAACCTTCTAGAAATAGGTTTTAATTATTACATAACTCCTCAAAGCTTTAGTTATTGCAACTAGATAAGCACTAATCACTTGCGATTGATTAACCAAAGATTAAAAATATGTTATATCAGATCCACATTTTCACTGGAATGGATGCATTCATACAACTGTGCAAATCGCAGTTTCTCTATTTTGCTAATCATTGGGGAAAAGCACAAACTAAACTTGTGCAACTGGTTCACTGATTTGTGAGCATAGAAACCCTGAATGTGGTTCAAACTTTTGCATTTAAGTGAATGCTTAAATTGCGTAAAGTTTTCAAATTTAGCTAAATAATTAAAGCATCTAGGGGGGCATTTTAATATGCTACCACAAAGTCTAAACTTTTTAAAATTCGAATCTAACATTCTTGATAATTGAAAGGATTACCTTGGACTAAATTCTTTTTCATCCCAATTAAACTTTTTTGTTAAAGCAGTAAGACTATTACTAGGAATGAGGAAATCCTTCAAAAGGTATTTTTTAAACTTTGGAAGTGCACATACAAGCCAACTTGAAATAAAATTATTAAAATAAGACTGTATTTCCTGGCTCATATGGCATTTAAATACTTATACTGGTTGTCTCTACAGGTGTAGCACAGCCATTTCAATCATGTACTTAAATGCATTACTATTATCTATATTTTATTTTTGTGTATTTTCGAATATATATCCTGCTTTTTTCTCCAGAAGCTCAAAGTAGGTCTCCCTTCATTTTTATCCTCATAATAACTCCATAGATTTGTCAAAAAATTGTGAGATTGTGTGGCCAACAAAACCCCCCAGTGCTGCTTGATTTTTATATGAATTCTAAGAATTGTATCCAAAGATGTCATGTCATTAGTCTAAACCAGGGGTCCCCAATCCCTGGTCCGTGGACCGGTACCGGTCCATAGTATGCCAGCAAGTGGGGTGCACAAACAAGCAAAGCTCCATCCTTGGGATCCAGGCTGTATTCAAAACCACACCCCCTCTGGTCAGCAGAAAAACCTTTCTCCATGGCACCGGTTCCTGGTGCCCAAAAGGTTGGGGACCTCTAGTCTAAACCTTCTGCAATTTACTAGTGCTAGTTCTGCAAATGTTTGCAGAAATTATTGTAGGTAGTTTTCTGTAATTTGGTACTCTCCACATGAATTGTAGTACAGCTGTCAGAAAATTCTGGTTATCATAGTCAGCAACTCTACTAAGGGAATGAGTCTACTCCTTCCCTTTCTGTTGGGCACCACATAGTGCTTAGGTAAATGGTTTATTAAGTTGATGGAAAGCTTATGATTATGGTTCTATCTCCTTTGGCTCATGATGTTCCTTTCTTCCTGAACTGTTCTTGGGGTACCCATAAAGTAAATAAGAGAATTGACACTTGAAAAAAAAATCCATTGGTTTCACCTGCTGCCCAGAACATCTCATCTTATTCTCAATCTGTGTTACAATTAGGTTGCCAAGTTTTCGAGTACAGTATTTGCAGGACTGCTTGTCTTCAATTATCTCTGCTCAGCTTATGAGAACTGGGAAAATAGGCATGGATTCTTTTTATGAAGCAAGAGATATGCCTCCTCTGTTGCAGAACTTGTATTGTGGGAAAATATTACTCTTGAGGGTTTGAATGACCTTGACCTTTCTGTCCTTCTATATCAGTGGTTCTCAACCTGAGGGTCGGGACCCCATTTGGGGTTGAACGACCATTTCACGGGGGTCGCCAAACAACGCAGTCCGCCATTTTCCCCCCTTTTCCTTAGCATTGCTACTCCCTTTTATTCTATTGGCTTTTGAAAGCCAATAGAATAGAGTCTCTTGAATAGAGTCTAATTCTATTGGCTTTCAAAAGCCAATAGGAATTGTCCAGGCTGTCTCTGCCCTGCTGAGTCCGCCAAAAGTCCCATTCTGCAAACGGTGCTGCACCAGTTGAGTAGTCCTTGACTTATGACCGGTTGAGTAGTCCTTGACTTACGACTGGTTGGGGGTCGTGGCATTAAAAAGGTTGAGGACCACTGTTCTATATCCTTATATATAAGGCCAGAAAGCATGATAAGCTCCTTTAATATTAAAGATATTGAATTAAAATATGGGTTGGTAGCCCTCAGTTAATTCTGAATTTTTTGTTTTTTCTATTATCTGATGTACTTTTCTATTCCTGGTGTTTATTGTATTATACATTCTAATTCCTTGTTTTCTATGCTTTTACCAACTGTAAGCCACTAGAGTTGCATAGTACTAATAGTACTAATAATTTATTTTGTGGAGATTTTAACATTTTTGGATCTTAAATTTGTCAGTTACTTGAAAGTCAGCTTGGTTTAGTGGTTAATGCACCAGGCTAGAAATCAGGAGGTTGAGTTGTAGTTCTGCCTTAGGCATAAAAGCCAGCTCGGTGACTTTGAACTAGTCACCCTCTCGTAGCTTGTGACATCAGGCTTTGGCAATAAGTCACTCAGTCAGTTGGATGGATCCACACTTCATTGACCAATGGATCCACATTTTGTTGATCTGAAAAAAATGTACCCTGCACTTGTGGGAAAAATGCTAGGAAGAAAAATAAATTGTCAGACACTTAGCACTAAGACCATCTTAAAAGAGTTATGCAAAAAAACATCAGTCCAACCAAAACCTGGGCATGTGAAAATCTTGGCATAAAGTACTCTTTATTCTTACTGCAGACATTGCTCTACTTACAAACTCTTGAGTTACAAACGTTAGCTGATATGAATAAACCTGTCCATAAGTCCAACCAAGAAGGTCCCAGAAGTCAAGAGAGAAGGCATGCTGTAAACTAACTCTTCCCCTCCTTCTTTTCATATTCTGTTTGTTCCACATGCATATTGTTCACTGTTTGGTTTTGTAGTGACTGCATGTGGTTTGTATTGTGACTGAATGTCTGAAATTAAGTGCAAGAGTAATTTTTATGTTTGCTTGAATTATGAATGAAAGGGACTTGTGAACAGTATCTTGGAACATAACTTGTTCGTAAGTAGAAGAATGTCTACATTGAGATAGTTTCAACCCTATTAAAGGCTACACATTTCAGCTAAAACAGGTTAACATGACATAGATGCATAAAGATCATATACAAGATTTTTTTAGTGTAATTGTATGAGACTCTGGCAAAATGGCTTCTACCTCACATCTTTGCATGTCATAAATCAACATAGCATTTTTGTGTTGGAAAGTTTAGCATCTTATGTGGGCAAAGCTTGTTATATTAACTTTCCTGCCGAAGGTAGTCAACAAAAAAACAATATATTCTTTCAAGGGTGAAATGTAAATCTCTGAAATGTTTTGTATCTTGTAAGATTCAGCTTCTCTACCTTTTGTTAAGGTTTGGTTTTAGGATTTTTCCTTCTCTTTTTTTTTTTTGAGATTTCACTTCTTCAGTCTGTGATTCCACAGCCTGGTTGAAAATATTTCTTTTTCTTTTTTCTTTTGTATTGAATACAGTGTGAGATTTTTTCAGTTAAATAAAATACTTAAATTGTAATCCATGCAAAATGGCTATATGTGAACCCTTGACAATGTCACGAGAATCGATAATGGTCATATGTTAAATGATTTAGCATCATAGTGGTAAGGAAGAGGGAATACAGTTTCAAGATATCCATGTATTTATATTAAAAAATTAAAAGTAAAGTCAGATATGTTTCTCTCTTTCCCTTTTTCTTCTCTAGAGCAGTCAAAAGATGTACTGCATATCCTGTGAAAGGGTGCTTTCAATCCAGTTATCCACTTTGCCCAGTCTCAGATTCCAGAATCTTCTACATACTCTCATTGGTTAAACCACTAAGCTTTTGATTCCTTCCTGATTACACTATGCAAGACATCTATCAAACACTGTCTTATCTGTTTGTAAGGCAGCTCAGGCCTCAGATTTAAGTCATGGGTTTTGGCTACAAGTTGGAGTGTGATTAATAATTGACTAATGTAGCTTTTATTTATCACAGGCTAGCACATTTCACCATTACTGAGTTAACATAAATTAAGTGTAAGCTGTCGTTCAATCTGTTTTTCAACTCTCCCCTCCCCAAATCTTAAGTCTATCTTTCACTTTTTTAGAAACAAAATCCTTACACAGGGCACAGTCTCAGTCAGTGCCAAAAAGTTGATTTCCTTTTCAGTGGAGTCATATATCACTAGCCCTCCCAGCTGCAGTGTCAGCCTCTGACAGAATGACATGTGTCATTTATCAAAGGGGCCAGGCTGGGCCTTGGGAAACGTACATGACAAAGCCTGAGAGAGTTCATTTCGTAGTCCCCTCCTACCCTCCCTGAGCCTCTTGCCAGGAAAGCCTGTGATGTTTCTGTCTTCACAGCATTACTGTAAGTCCTTCAACCTTCACAGAATTAACCCTTAGAGCTACAGCCATCATCACTACTACGGGATATTCCTTAGAGAGTTCTGCCATCTGATTTTTTTAAAAATTTAATTTAATTTATTTTTAGGTAAGAATGTGATTAGCAATGATATGTTGCTGGAAAATTCTACCACTTGATTTCCTGTCATATCTACTTATAGTTTCTTAAAAGTAATTTATGATATGGATAGTATACAAGAACAAAAATACTAAGTTTTGTCATAGCAAGGCAAAGCCTAAAAACTCAACAGTACAATAAAATGTCACTTTAAATCCTAAATAGTATGGAGTGAACAACATTGTTCATACTAAGGTTTACTGCTGAGTTGTAAAAAGCTTTGGCACTGTAAAAGTGCAGAAGAAACTTGTGTATGTGAATGATTTTTTGCTTAAATATTCCACCTGATAAACATTTTGTATGGCTGTTTCAAACAATGAGTTGAAATAAGAACAGCTAGTATTTCTTTTGAATGGAATTTAATGTTTGAATTTCATAACATTTTAAAAATGAAGTGATTTGCTTAGCTTTCAAAATTCTTGCAGAAGGTGTTTTTCTTAGTAGAAAAGAAGCAAATGCACATCAGTTTTTTTAATACTCAGGGTGTCACTTACATTGAATTATTTAATATCTGTAATCATGTTATTCAGTCCTATAACCAAGGTAATGATTAACAGTTTAAATGTGAAAATTATTTTCTCTCAAATCTGCAGAATACACTGCAAAATGTAAAAATGTATTTTGGTAAAACAAGTATAACAATGGAAAAATATTTTTTCTCTCTGTCTTACATACAGTATACAGATTCCTTTAAAAACAGTATGCATAGTTGGCTGTCACAATAATATTATTTACGGCATCCAAAAATCATTTACAGATACAGCTAAGGGGATTCAAGCCTCAGTTAGGAACTTTCTAGAAAGGAATCTTATAAATTAGCTATTGCTCAGGAGTGGCTGTTTTCTAGTCAGGGTTGGTCCTTTCATTTGTCTACATAAGGCTAATTTATTTTTGCAGCCAGATGTCAGCTGACAGCCATCACTCAGAGTTTCCTTCCCCCACTGTTAGGAGGTCGGAAAAACAGTCACGTTTTCCATTGTACAAAATCCCTATCAACATTATTGAAGATGGATGTATCTTTAAAGCAAAGATTGATTGTGGATATCGGAGTTATGGTGTCATTTATCATGGTGAATATTATTTAGACTTGGATTGTACAAGGCTGTAACTTGAGACACAGCCAGGGGAGGGACAATCTGGAAACGAGGATCCATGAACTTTAATGGATGGATGCTTTTTCAAAGCTCCACGCACTGTAGTATGATTTACTTTTTTTATAGAAAAGAAACAAGCATTTCAGTTTTAAAGGGCCAGCATGCCTTGTTTCCTTTTGTGGATCCTTTATAGACATAAAAGGCTCACAGCTGAGACACAAATAGAATGATACTATATGAATTTTACATGTATACAATTAATCATAGTTTAAATATATCACCATGAGAGACATTAAATGAAGTGTACTCAAAGCTTTTGATTGCTTGAGCTTTTACTCATGTTGCTAGAAAAGTGCCCCAATATATTTGTATTATGTAAGAAATAGAATTATGTAAAATTATGGTGGCATTAAATATAACATAATAATCATTGTGTTATATTGTGCAGGCGTTCTATATCAAATTGAGTCCAAAACATCTAGTTGTTCACTCTTGAAGTCTCCTACCGGTAGAATGACTGAAAAAAACTCAGTTGTTCAACATAGCAACACTGTAAATGTTTGGGTATGTTAAAATATGTTCTAAAAGTATAGATTTGCAATATATACTTAATTCTTTGGATGTGTGAACACATGGTATGCATGCAAGAAAATTTTCTAGGGAAGGGCCAGTTTTAACACTAATATTAAGGATGTGCTGTATATGCTGGCGTTTAAATTAGAGGCCTTTGAAAAGTGAAGTTGGTTTGCATTTTAATATAGAAACATGGCAATACAATTTTAGTCACCAGCTTATTCTAGATTCTAGAACATTCACAAAGTTCACAAACATTCATGAAGGTCATATACCATGTTTCTCAATATAGTTCATTTCTACTTCATATTTTTTGTCATTAAAGTGAATTAACTTTAATCTGTTGTAAAGATTCAGCTGAATCATAAAATCTAGGTCATCTTGTGAAGTACAGAATAGATGTGTGGTACAAACACCCTGATGGCTTAAAATATAATTTTTGAAAGTATATGCATGCTAATCAATCTCAAAGTAATCTTGATAGTGTAATGGCATAAATCCAACTGCAGCTTATTCAACTGTTGCTCTGGCTGCTTACTTGCATCATAAAAATAGTCCTGGTTATACTCAGCTTGATGCCTTGTAGAATTAGTTTTGAGCAATAAAATCTAAACATTAGATATCTAGCTTCCATTTAATATAGACCATAGATTAACTGCATGTGGAGACCCTTTATTTTAGTCTTCAACTAATGGCATTCTAATGTTTTAACTAAATCTTAGTTTGTTTATATGTTACTATTTATTATAGTTTATTATCTTTGTATAATTTCTTCCAACACTGCCTATTAAAGGTTGAATTAAAGATCTAGAATAAAATTTGTTTGCATAAATAAATTTGTATTTCATTAAAAATATAAGATGCCTTTAAATTAAATTGAATTTCTCGTGATTGCATCTCTACAGTTTTCTTGGCAATGTTAAGGGAATAGATTGCTATTCTTTCAAATATTTTTGTTAAATTTCCCAATATAATGAAGACCTCTGAAGTTTTCAGGCAATCCCACATTTAAGTATGAACTAGGACTGACCTTGTTCAATTTTTGATATTACCCAAGGTCAGCCAGGTGTGGGTACCTGCTGAGGCTCTTACTACACACTTATAAATACCATTGTTTCTATCATTAAAAAAATGGAGGAAGATACTAGGTATTAAACTACAAGGTTTTACTAAGTGAGAAGAATATAAAACATTAATAAATTTCTGTGTCATTACAGTATAGAATGAAGCAACAGAAAGGGAAAATAATTGAGCATCTGTTCAAATTGCATTTATCTTCTATTTCAAACTAATGAGGAAAATCTATCATATGGAACAATAAAGGGTATTTATTTTTCCAAACACTGATTTACTTATTAAGGCTGATCTTGCATTTATATTTAGATATTAACAGCTCATGCTTCTTTGTGGCATGTGTACATTCTAAGAATGTATACATGCCACAGAGAATGCACCAATGTACATCTAAGAATGTACCAGTTTACATTCAAAGCAGTTAATTAACTATATAGTAATCTAGGTAAAATAGAACATTTGTAGGATAAGTTATTTCATCATTTCAGGGGATATCAGACTTTTAGAGTCCCAAATCTGAGCCCATCATGTTAATAGTGGTAGCGCAAAAGAAAAATAACATTCACTAGTCTTGCAAGTTTGTCAACATTTCACCAGATTTTGATAAAGTCATAACATGTTGATTTTTCTTAGTGGATGAATGTTCTAATTCACATTACAGGATCTACTAAAGGAATAATTGTTAGCCTCATGTACATACATTTTTTGCCTCTTTTTATCTTATCTGCTACTTTTAATAACTTTGGGAGTAATATCATTAAGTCTGCAGTTCTGTATACTGTGGGATTTGCTCTTGATTGATTGCTGGTTTATTATTCTTATAAGCATGTTTACTTTCATACATAGAAGGAAAAAATTGTAATCTGGTTGTTCCTTTAAGATAGGATGCTGTCAATATTGATAAGTGTACATAGTGAGATTTGATTAAAAAAACTCATTGCCATCAGATGAAATAGTTGCAATAAGATATATTTCAAAATAAGTGTTTGGAAATAAGATTTGTAAAAGTCAAAGATTTGTAAATATTTGTGTTTAGGATCAACTTGATTTACCAGTTAATCGGAAAAAATTGGCTTAGTTACTAACAGTTTGACTTAACTGGATTTAGGTTTGGGTTGTCAGTTTTATTCTATGCCAGTAATACTCTATGTATAGGAATATTTTTCCAAATTAAAAAAAATGCAACATGTTTATAAATAGGAAGTACTTTATCAAATTCATATTTATCATAGCCACTGTAATGTTGACTAGGGGTCAAGTTCATTATAGTAAATAACAGCCTAACTATTATTAATGCATGTAAGTCTATGCCACAGTTATGATATAAGACTACTGTTTCCTGATTAAAACTATTTGATGACAGAGATGGAATGTAGATTATCTCTGCCTTATGTTTACTGATATCAGCTTATTCTGCCTTTTTTTTTTTGACAATGGAATACATTAATGTAGACATACCTCACAGAATGGACTTTTGAGCTTCAGAAAGTAAAGAATTCATAAAGGTGTCTAATTTCAGTACTCACATTGTATATCCATAAACTATACATATTTATCATGGCATATTACAGAATGCAGCAACTACTGATTTTCATTTTTTCCTGAGTATCTCAATGAGGTGATTTATTATAGTTATCCATCTTAAGGGTCATCTATCAACTTTTAGTTGCTACAAAATCAAACAAGCAGCTGCTTGCTTTGAATCAATCAGAAAACTTACCATTTATCACATTCAGTATGATTTTTGTGTTAACTGAATTACAGTATTATGCATAACACTAAAATAAAAAATATTATTATTTGCTATTATATTGATGGTTTAAATATAAACAAAAACTGTTAGCAAACTATATATAGGTTCTATTCCAGTAAATAATAATAATTTCTGAAAAATGCTAATTCTGGTCAAATATTGCTGTTCTTATTAAGAAAAGATCTATAGTCATGCCATTAGATCTAAGTTCTTAACAATATTTATCTCATTTGTCCTCAACTAGCTAGTGGCCTGAGCCTATTTTACAGAAGGAACACTGAGAAACTATGATTACACACAACATTCTTTTGAGCATGTTTTGTTATTCCTAGCTCTTATTACTGAATCAAAGG